ATCATTTAATTAGTGATAGTAATAATAATGTCTAGCTATTTATAATGACATTATTACTCTCTGTCTGTCTGTCTCTGTCTCAGTCTCTCTCACTCTCTCTCTCTCTCTCTCTCTCTCTCTCTCTCTCTCTCTCTCTCTCTCTCTCTCTCTCTCTCTCTCTCTCTCTCTCTCTCTCTCTCTCTCTCTCTCTCTCTCTCTCTCTCTCTCTCTCTCTCTCTCTCTCTCTCTATATATATATATATATATATATATATATATATATATATATATATATATATATATATATATATATATATATATATATATATATATATATATATAGGGTCTGAGCAGGTGGTGGAGCGGGTTAAGGCGTACCTGTTATGCCAGTTGCTGGAAGGCTTCTGTGCTGGCTAGGGTTCGAGTCTCCTGGTGGGAAAGTGTTCTAAAGTTATATATATATATATATATATATATATATATATATATATATATATATATATATATATATATATATATATATATATATATTACAGTGTCAATTTTATAGAGGTGACTTGATCATTAAGTTTGGGTACAAATTCGTCTGTGTTTACATCTGAAGGCCATATACACTAAATATCATCACCATATCTAAACCATGGAATGATCCCAGGGGTAATTTTTTAAACAAATTTCTTATCGAAGAATTCCATGTACAAGTTTGAAAGCAATGGCGATAAAGGATTCCCCATTGCCATTCCAAAAGTCTGTAAATAATACTCATTATTTAAGGTGGGACCTTAGCGAGGGGCCCACACAATGGGTGCGACGAGGACATGAATAACAAAAAAATGTATGCGATCAAAACAACGAACTCCCAAATGAACCAGAGATATCAGGAGATACTGAGTCAGTGTGAAGGACAGTAAGTAGGTTATACAATGAGAGGATCAAAGACCAATTCTACACAGGAGTTCAGATATAAATACAAATAGATTATTAATAACAACCAAAGGGCTGGAAGATTTCTTGCATTTTAATAATATGCACCAAGACAGACGGATAAAGGGACCTAAAGAACAAGTCGGTGTTCCTTTCATGAACATTGTATAAGGTGATGGGAAATATATTACCATTCAGAAAACAGTGGAGCGTCTGGGAAGACGAGTCTCACGGCCCTGACAGTGCCATGAGAGGCGATGGAGATCAAACAAGACCGAGAATAGTATCGTCATACTGCATAATTGTCTGACCGGCCAGATGGTCTTTTGCCGTTGCATCCTACAGGAAAGGAGTCTACTAGCTGGAGAAACAGGTGGAATGACAGAGAGCTTCAGAAGATAAGGAATTGCCTTAAACAATAGAGAACAAGGAGTCACAGTGAGGGATGTCATAAATGGGGTGGTAGATCACCAGCGGGGTCCCACAGGGGCTAGTGTTTGGACCCATCTTATTGCTGCCATATGTGGACGGTCGCCCTGGGGGGGGAGGGGTGGAGGAGGGGGGCTAGGCTCCTTATTGATGTTTGCAGATGTTGCCAAACTGGCGAGGGTACACCCGGTGCAAGCACAATGAGTGATCGTAATGGTGGTTACAAGAGTTCGATTCCAACAAACTTTGCTTTAAATTTATAATTGTTAATATTCACTATCTTCTCCGTGTTGCGGAAATTTTATTGTAAGACTCAAGACTTCACACCCACAAAGCTTATAGGTATAACCCTAACTGTAAAGTAGGCAATAAAATTACACTATTAGTCTCTCTGGGAAGGTTACCCATAAGGTCCATGGGTAGTTTCAGAATCATTATCATGCCTCCCTTTTGGGGCACTGTTTTATGATGCCTTCGCTGTACAGGATGTGTGTACTTACCTAGTTGTGCTTGCGGGGGGGGGGGGGTTGAGCTTTGGCTCTTTGGCCCCGCCTCTCAACTGTCAATCAACTAGTGTACAGATTCTAGAGCCTGTTGGGCTCTATCATATCTACCTTTGAAACTGTGTATGGAGTTAGCCTCCACCACATCACTGCCTAATGCATTGAAAAAATTCTTTCTAATGTCCCTGTGGCTCATCTGGGTACTAAGTTTCCACCAGTGTCCCCTCGTTCGTGTTCCACCCGTGCTAAATTGTTTGTCTTTGTCTACCCTGAGCCGGTCGGGAGCCGGTCGGCCGAGCGGACAGCACGCTGGACTTGTGATCCTGTGGTCCCGGGTTCGATCCCAAGCGCCGGCGAGAAACAATGGGCAGAGTTTCTTTCACCCTATGCCCCTGTTACCTAGCAGTAAAATAGGTACCTGGGTGTTAGTCAGCTGTCACGGGCTGCTTCCTGGGGGTGGAGGCCTGGTCAAGGACCGGGTCGCGGGGACACTAAAAAGCCCCGAAATCATCTCAAGATAACCTTGTCAATTCCTATAAGAATGTTTTGTTTTGCGTGTGTGCTCGCCTAGATGTACTAACAGTGCTGAACTAGGCTCCAAGCCCCGCCTTCCGAACATTCTTAGAGAAATATAATGATTTGGTTTGTGTGGGTGTGTGTTAGTTTAGTCATTTATTATGCACCCCATACCCATCCCGGGGACGGTGGTAGTAAGGGTTATTGAGGCACACAATGGGTTCAAGAACTGAACCCTACATGCATTTAATTTAGCTAAGCAAGTAACAAATTAGTGAAACTAGTTACATAACTTTCTTTTTACACGGATATCATATGTACATATATCAATAGTAAATTACACTATCTTCTTAAGGTTATCTTGAGATGATTTCGGGGCTTTTTAGTGTCCCCGCGGCACGGTCCTCGGCCAGGTCTCCACCCCCAGGAAGCAGACCGTGACAGCTAACTAACTCCCAGGTACCTATATACTGCTAGGTAACAAGGGCATCAGGGTGAATGAAATTCTGCCCATTGTTTCTCACCGGCGCCCGGGATCGAACCCGGGACCACAAAATCACAAGTACAGCGTGCTGTCCGCTCGGCCGACCGGCTCCCATCACCACTTATGGGATAATAATAATAATAATAATAATAATAATAATAATAATAATAATAATAATAATAATAATAATAATAATAATAATAATAATAATAATAATAATAATAATAATAATTCATTGTGTCGGGGGACAGGCAGCCAGTGTATATATACATGCTAGGCTTTTATCGAGATTCCCTTCCCTAAGCTCGAACTACGGCACACACAGTTACAGCCCCGCTCCTGTGCCAGGTAAGTCTACTACGGGCTCACCATAACCCGTGCTGCTTGGAACTTTTTGTTCCGAGTAGCTAAATCTAAAACAACAACAGCAATCGAACTACATACCTTGGACTAGGATGCAACCTCACAAGCTAACTCCTGAGGGGGGGGGGGTAGAAATAGCCTAAGCTACTCTATCCCTTTGAGATGTATTTATTGCTTATCTCAATAAACATACTTGAACTTGAACACTTGAACTTGAACTAACTCCTGAGAACCTATTTACTGCTTGGTGAACAAGAGGATGAAGGTATGTGGTGTATAATAAATTAAATAAACTATATTAACGCTCAAACTTGACGAATTAAGGTCAATATTTCCATCTGTTATCAAATCCCTCATGACTGTGGCTATTTATGAAGCTACACTATCAACTTAGTGAATACTCTTGTGTCGTAAACATTCTCAAGAATCATTTAGTGTATTTGGATGCATTTCTAAGGTCAAGTTTCTAAGATTTCTAATAATGCAAGATTTCTAAGATCTAATAATGCAATAGGGGGGTAGAAATAGCCTAAGCTACTCTATCCCTTTGAGATGTATTTCTTGCTTATCTCAATAAACATACTTGAACTTGAACTTGAATAATGCAAGTATTATGAATAACCGTTAATTATGACCACGCTATTAAGAGTACCTAGAGGGTTGCTGATTGATTGATGAAGATTAAGCTTCCCAAGAGGTGACACGGGCATGAATAGCCCCTAAAGAGTATTGCTGTAGGGAAGAGAGTTATATAAGGCCGAGGAGGGATGAACACGTGGGATGGGCCCTTATTTTTGGCAGAGACCAACCAACCACGGCTAGGAGGTAGGGGGGGGGGCAATGGGGAGGGGGGGTCGAGTTATAGAGGAAGAGAATAGAGGATTTGTAGCAGGGGCTGAACATGGGATCAGTGTGTAATACGGAAAGGGAACAGGGTTGGATAAAGTGTAATTAGGGAAGGGAATTGGGGATTGTAGTAGAATGGAAGGTGATAGTTGTATGGGAAGGAGGGAAGAGTAGTAGCGAAAGGGAAGGGGGGTGGGGGAGGAAATGAGGGTTGGGGGAAATTGTGTTGTAAAACCTTTGGAGAGCAAGGTGGGATGGGGGAGGGGGGGGGTGATGGAGGTGCCAAGTGCCATAGTGTACCGTAGCCTCACTCACCACAAGAAAGCTTGGCACTAATGTTCCTCCTCCGCATTACTGTGTCTATACACGCTTGAAAAACAAAAAAAATGTAGCCTTTCCAGTTGATGGTGGTATCAATATTTACCCAAGTTAAATAGTAGCATGAAGGGAGGGAGTGAGGGAGGGAGGTGGAGCCCCATAGCCCGGTTGTCATAAAGTGTGGTGGTGGTGGCCGGGAAGACCTTCCTGTCCCACACACTCTTCCTCTCTCAAGGCCTCGCTCATTACCTTTTGTATTTTTATTCAGCTAGGTTTCGTGCCTTCTGGAACTGCTTTCCGAAACGTACCTCATTTGGCAGCATATACAATGATAGCGGTATTCTTAAAGGATTGTGATCGCAGATGGCATTTTTTAATTCATTTATTATACCACTAGGATCAGTGAAACGTTTGTATTCAAACTGGCATCTCTGACAGGTCTCAGTAACTGGCAACTACATGCACCCGCCAACTGCTAAGACATCCAATATATATTAAGTAATCTCCTTTAAGTGATCTACCCATAATATTTTGTAATAGTTATTTCCCCCCATAAGAAACATTTATAAGAAGAAAGTGTTTATCAGGAGCCGGCACACGGCCAGCCAGCTCGACGAACCAAAATGGCCCTGAAGAGTGTCCGCCACTCAGTGTTCCTTGGACCGCCCGTGAGAGCAGGCTGTACTCTCTGCGCGCACCGGGTGACTTTAACACGCGTTCCCGCATCCTTTTTTTTATACGTGGATATTCTAACGTAAAACGAGATAACTCATGACGATTCTGATTCAAGTGACTGTATTCTTCTTCTGTGTGTGTGTCATGCTTCAAGGTGCCGTATTGTAGTAGCTTTTTTGCGAGGGGTTTGTATCTAGGGGCGTTAAGTTAGGAAACTAGGATATAACAAGTGATCACTATGGCGACTGATATGTTGCTAGTATTTCTGCTGGGGTTAGCGAGATGCTCCTCAGGCTTCAACATCGACATTGGCAACCATGTTACACATTTCGGAACGCAGAAGGGATCCATGTTCGGCTTTGCCGTTGCTCAACATAAGGACAGAGGACAGAGTCGGTGAGTATCCTTCAATACTCCTTAGTTCATGTTACTTACCACCAAATTTCCGTGTCATTATTCCTCACCGTTCTGGAATGCAATTCATTGCGTCTCTGCAACAAAATTAAGTTATTCCCCACGTGTAAATGATATTTTTTATATATAAAATAATGAGGATAATGTGGGATTTAAGCTCGATGTGTTAAAATATACTCGCTATACCCCATCTGGCTATCTTTAAGGCGCCCCTCTCCACCTTGAGACAGGGTACTAAATCAGTAGCGTTTTTATTATGTGGTGTTAAGCCCCCACAGACTTGAGGGTCAAGTTGCCAGTGTGGGTGGAGCGTGAGACAGGAGCCGTCAGTAGCAAACAGTAGCGGCTTGAGGAACGCTGGGACGACCTCTGTCAGGCAGACAGTAAGGTTGGCCGGCTGGTAGGAAGCATAGCAGTCAGGTTGACAGATAGACAGGTAAGATGGTTTACTGTAGGCAGGATGGTAGACAGACTGGCAATACCTCCAGCTAGAAGACAGGCAGGATAGCCAGCTAGCAAGCTGACAGGCCGGATGGCAGACTGGCAGGCAGGTAGGATGGGAGACAGACAGGCAAACAGGATAGCCAGCTGGCAGCTGACAGACCAGATGACAGTCGGGCAGGTAGGCAGGATAGACAGTTAGCAAGCTGACAGACCGGATGGCAGACTGGCAGGCAGGTAGGATGGGAGACAGACAGGCAAACAGGATAGCCAGCTGGCAGCTGACAGACCAGATGACAGTCGGGCAGGTAGGCAGGATAGACAGTTAGCAAGCTGACAGACCGGATGGCAGATTGGCAGCTGACAGACCGGATGGCAGATTGGCAGCTGACAGACCAGATGACAGTCGGGCAGGTAGGCAGGATAGACAGCAAGCTGACAGACCGGATGGCAGATTGGCAGGCAGGATAGCCAGCTGGCAGCCGACAAACCGGGTAACAGACTGGCATGTAGGCAGGATAGCCAGTTAGCAAGCTTACAGACAGGCAGGCAGGATAACCAGTTAGCAAGCTCACAGACCGGATGGCAGACAGGTAGGCAGGCAGGTAGGAGAGCCAGCTAGCAAGCTGACTGACCGGATGGCAGACTGGCAGGCAAATAGGATGGGAAACAAGGTGGCAAGTTGGCCAGCTAGCAAGCAGGCAGGCAGGCAGGCAGGGAGGGAGTGGGAGCAGTCCCACAAGGTTATGCCCAGGACACGGGGTTCCATTGTGCCCGATCACTCCACCCGCAATACTGCCTTCCGGTTGAATGACACCTTTTTTGTTATCTTAACATTTGAATTGTAATACACCGATTGTATATTTCATGCTAGTGGTGAAATAAGTTATTATTGAAATATTAATCGATTATTAGGCACAGATAACCTGAAAGACTTTGAATACGTTAAGTTGTAACGTATTGTTGAAAATGTTGAGCCATACGTTAAGCTGTAAGTCATAAGAGTTTAGACCCAATCTTTTAAGTCATGTTTTGGCCCTTCGTTGTGAGTCTTAAGTCAGCTATGCGATGTAAGTGTTGATTAGCGAGAGGCTTGCCAGATGCCCTACCGAATACCACGTGCGTAGCCTGATGGCTGGGACTCGCATGCGTTCTCAGAGTATAAAAGGTTTAGGTCGTTCACGTTTCATTGTATAACGTGTCATTATGATGTATTTTCATTTAGAACGTACCATCAAAAATACAGTTTAAATTGACACCATTTCATTATGAGATTTTTAGCTAAGAATGTTTCATTACGAAACGGTTTACCTTAGAATGTTTTTAATTTAGTATGTTATGGTTCCTAACGTTCTAGTTTTATGGTGTTAATAGCGGTTTATTGGCACGTTTTGTCTTTGACAAATATTATAGTAATTCACGTTCTTCTTGACGTATCATTCTACTATGTTCTAGTCCCTGAAGCTGTATAGCCAGTACTCTTTGATCCTTTAGTCCGAAGACAACCTATGTGCGACTAGGCTAAGTCTAACATTGTCAGAGTAGAGTGAACTGTGCGTAAGCCAAAGTTGTTTTGCTCGGCCCTTTGTCTAGGTAGCTCCTGTTATAGGCGCCAGCGAGGCGGTTGAGTGTGTGTGTGTGAGAGTGTGTTTGTGAGAGCTTGCGTCACGGCAGCAGCACCTAGTGAGACAGGAGGCTATTATCGAAGCCCCTCACCCCCTCCGGCAACTCGTTTACATGGGTATCATCACTACTTCCTGAGGTGGTCTCCCAGAGATGCAATCAGCTGGCTTGGGACAGGTGGTCAGTGGTCGAATGCTTCCTCTTTGAAGTAGGTTCCTTATATCTCGCTCAAACGCTTGCACGCACGCATGCATCTCTCTCTCTCTCATGCTTCTGTTCACCTAGCAGTAAACAGGCACCTGGAATTTAGTCAGCTGTTGTGGACTTCATCTTGGAGATGTGTGCATATTTACTATTTGTATGTACTATTTGTGTCTGCAAGATCGAGCTGTTAGCTCTTGGACCTTGTCTTTCTAACCGTCTGTTGTCTAATCTCTAATGTACTGACTTTCGACTTATTTTGTTTTCTTTTATCATATTATCATATCTACTTCACAGTTCTCTCTCTCTCTCTCTCTCTCTCTCTCTCTCTCTCTCTCTCTCTCTCTCTCTCTCTCTCTCTCTCTCTCTCTCTCTCTCTCTCTCTCTCTCTCTCTCTCTCTCTCTCTCTCTCTCTCTCTCCTCTCTCTCACACACACACACACACACACACACACACACACATCCCTAGGATGCAGCCTGTAGCAGCTATCAAACTCCCAGGTACCTATTTACAGCTAGGTGATCACGTTAAGGTGTTGTTGTTTAAGATTCGCTACCTAAAACAAAAAGTTCTAAGTAGCACGGGCTATGGTGAGCCCGTAGTGGACTTTATGTTAAGGTATACGACCGCCAAGGTAATAGACTAAATGGCAGGCGCGGTTGTCCCTGCTTGCATATGCTCCTCTTACCCGGGTCATCTGATATGCCTTGGGGGTCAGTCCATGCTGTCGCCTTTATTATAAAATTGTATTGATGTTTTAGTATGTAGTTTAATATCATCATAAATGTGTGCAGTCATTTATAGTTGATTAATTTTATTTTTTATAATTAATTGATAATGATTATTAATGCAAATTAATAATGATTATTATAATGAATTAATAATAATTATTGATAAATAATATAATTTATTTAAAATTAATACTAGTATTATTGTTATAATTATTATTACTAATGTTTTATTATTGTTAGGGTGTTTAGGAAGCAGCTTTACAGTAAAACACACATACTGTTACAGCAGTAGTAAGGAGGAGTCATTATTGTTATCATTAATGACTTTATAATATAATTGTAATATTGTATGTATATTATTATTATTATTATTATTTAATTTTGTTATTTATTTTTTTAGTAAGTAGTTAGGGTATAATAATAATAAAATAAAGGTTGGAATGAGGTTGAAGGGATACAACGTGACCGCTGGAGGCCTCCCTCGATCCCCTCCCCCATCCCCTCTAATCCTCCCTTCTCCCTCTTTTCCCCTCGAGTCTGTTTGTTGGAGGACAATAACAGTGCCAGAGCCAACATATGAGTGTGTGCTGGTCACACCTCGGTGCTGGAGGCAGAGGAAAAAGAGGAGACAAAATGAAAGAGGGGATATAGTCGCGTGAATAGCCAGGGAGAAGAATGGGAGTAGGTGTTAAGGACAGAAGATGAATGAACAAATCCACAAGGGCCGTGATGAGGGGGTAGGAACCTAGCCCTCATCTATATTAGGCTACCCTCATCCCGGCCCTGGTGGATTTGTTCACTTGATATATCACGTTATTGTAATTTCTGTGTAGTGTAAGGTGAATGAGAGTTCAAATTGAAATAAGTTTGTCGCGGTATAAATACACACAAAGGGATGAGGTAGCTCAAGCTATTCTCACTCCGTTCAGTATAACGAGTTCATATATATATATATATATATATATATATGTTTATATATATATATATATATATATATATATATATATATATATATATATATATATATATATATATATATATATATATATATATATAAAATACACAACAATAAGCATATTACCGAACATTCTGAGTGATAACATATACATTTCTTAATGAAAGTTGTATTTCCGTGTTACCAAGTTAGTGTTATCATATCAGGATATTAAAAAAAAAGTTTGGATGCGTCCAACATCCTAGTTGACCAGACGACCAACGAGGGGACGTTGACCCAAGGAACACAACGTAGGTATGGTTGCTATTTGAGTAGCTTAGGCTACTTTATATATATATATATATATATATATATATATATATATATATATATATATAATATTTTTTTTATATAAAAAGTTTTTTATATTTTTTTCGCGATTAACATACAAATATATATTTGTATGTTAATCGCCCAAATATATAACATGCAAATATATATTTGTATGTTAATCGCCCAAATATATTAACATGCAAATATATATTTGTATGTTAATCGTCAAATATATTAACATACAAATATGTATTTATGTTAATCGCGAAAATTCACACGTGATGAAAAATGTGACAGTGTCAGACCACGGAGGAAGAATTGAAACAGGAATTTCCTTAAGTACTTTCGTATATCATACATCTTCAGGAGGAAGGAATGAATGATTCATTCATTCCTTCTGAAGATGTATTAATATACGAAAGTAGTTAAGAAAATTCCTGTTTCAATTCTTCCTCCGTGGTTTGACACTCATATATATATATATATATATATATATATATATATATATATATATATATATATATATATATATATACCGTATATGCATTGGTAGAAATATGCGTATTTTGTTAGACCATAGTGCATATACAGGCTATGATTATAATGTTGGGCGACCTTGGGCAGCGGGCGTGGTTGTCTGGCAATCAGGTTAATGTCAGGGTGTGATATGATTTTTAGAATGGTGCAATATTTGTTAATGAGATTAATAGCAATGTAA